ATCGATTTGTGTCCATCTAGTATTGACACTAAGCTTTAGATTTAGAAATAATATTTTTGTTAAGCATAAGTACCAACACTAGTTGATCCTATTGATGACAAAATTGATTTTCTTGCAAGATCGATTTGTGTCCATCTAGTGTTGACACTTAGCTCAATTAATGACAAGTAGCTCATGAGTCATGGTAAAGAATCCTTAGAATTGCAGAGTTTGATACATAGAGAAGAGTTCAATCTCACAAGTTACAATTCAATGTGAGCATCTTACATCGATTTTTAAGTAATGTAGGTAGATATTCTGAAACATATGGTTTAGTTGGTGGATTTAGTTGTTGGAATTAAGTCAAAACTAATGTAGTTAAAGTTAAAAAGTTGTTAAGTTGTTTAAATAAGTTAAAATAAATAACGTGGTTTAGTTGGTGGATGTAGTTATTGGAGTTAAGTCAAAACTAAACTAGTGAAAGTTGTTAAGTCGTTTAAATAAGTTAAGATAAATAATGTGGTTTAGTTGGTGGATTTAGTTGTTGGAATTAAGTCAAAACTAATGTAAGTTAAAGTTAAAAAGTTGTTAAGTTGTTTAAATAAGTTAAAATAAATAACGTGGTTTAGTTGGTGGATGTAGTTATTGGAGATAAGTCAAAACTAAACTAGTGAAAGTTGTTAAGTCGTTTTAAATAAGTTAAGATAAATAATGTGGTTTAGTTGGTGGATTTAGTTGTTGGAATTAAGTCAAAACTAATGTAGTTAAAGTTAAAAAGTTGTTAAGTTGTTTAAATAAGTTAAAATAAATAATGTGGTTTAGTTAGTTGAATTTTAAGTTGTTAGGAATTAAAGTCAAAACTAAACTAGTTAAAGTTGTTAAGTTGTTTAAATAAGTTAAAATAAATAATGTGGTTTAGTTAGTGAATTTAGTTGTTGGAATTAAGTCAAAACTAAACTAGTTAAAGTTGTTTAAATAAGTTAAACTAAATAATGTTGTTTAGTTACTGACATTGCTTTTAATTTACTAACCATATATAGGTCTACAATTTAGAAAATGCCGCCACATTTGATCAATTTTTCAAGGATATTTCTTGGGGATCAATTACAGTTCACACAATGTCCCAAATGTCTTTGCTATCGCCCTTTGTCTACCCCAATTTTAGTTAAATATTTTGTAACTTTCGGCAAGCTACTTTTAGTTCGCCAAATGAAGTTTGTGAATCGCTGAATGACCCTGGACTTCACCAACCTGTGCTGACTTTTGTGAAATTTTATTCTGTAATTTTTGGTGAGCTCGACATAGCTCGCCGAATGAGTTTGGCGATTCGCCGAACTAGTCAGTGAGTCTTTATGCATTTTTTTATTTCCAACGGTGATTTTCTGATTGAATTCTTTCTAACGTATTGGTTTGTTCTGTGTTGTTTTGCAGATATGGCCAGACCCAAAGTTCCCGGTAGAGACTAACCACCCCGGAAGAGAGCACAGGGAATAGTGATTAATAAAGGTGTTGCTCCCCCACGAGCAACACAACCTAAACTTCCTCCTAAATGAGGGAAAGGCACAGGAAAGGGGAAGGGTCCTCCGGATACAAATCTGATTGAGGACAACTCAGATAGTATGGGCATCTATGACACGCACCTCACCACTTCGGAATCTGATAATGAGAATACTTCGGGGTCTAGATCACTAGTCTCTCTGTCTGATCCAAAGGATGATCAAACTCTTCAGAGGAGGAGAGCTGAGTTGTACTCTAATGCATTACATGATCCGACCAGGATATCGGTTACTTCGACACCTCCTCCACCTTCAGCACAAACTGTTAAGCAGGCACCTCTAGTTCCCCGGGTACAGGCACTTCCACCTCGATCGCTGAGCAGACTTAAAGGTTGCCGGATTGAGGACAATTTTGGAAGAAAAGAGGATGTCTACAGATGGAGTGGTGGACAGGTATCCAGAAGTGTGGAACATCATCAAGTTCCACATGTTTGAGAGATTTACACAGCCTCGAGGCTCATACATACCTTCCTGGGTCCAGTAGTTTTATACAGAGTATGGGAAGCTGGTTCCAAAGGGGAATAAGAAGGCCAACTTATTTGTACCAGTGGATCATGTGGTGGTACGTGGAAAAAGGGTTAAATGCAGCAACACATACATTAATGAGGTTGTGGCATGTACGACAAATATGATCCACTTCTTGGTGGATTGGATACAAAAGAAGACCCTTGATGACTTAAAAAGGTGGTTGGCTCCTCTAATTTCTGACATCACACCATCGTGGATTGAGCTAGGAGTTCAGATTGAGAAGAAGAATATGAATGTAGTTGCGCGGTATTGGTTTAGATTTATTAGCAGCACCTTGATGCCTTCCTAGAAGGAGTCCATACTTCGGCATCCTAAGGCGGCTTTGTTGCGATCCATTATCGACCGCGATAGACTAAATCTCAGGTTGATTATTGAACAGAAGATGTCCATGAGAGCCAAGAAGAGTCAAACGTCACTTTATTTTCCGGTGCTGATCATAGAGTTGTGCGGTGTGCTCAAGTGCCCTTGGTGGCGAAGACGGATGTGGAAGTGGCGACCACTTCCTCTACTGACATCTAGAGGATTGAGGCCGAGTACACTATAGACGAGGCTGAGAGGAGGAGAGCATCATCGGTGGACATTTCCTTGATTGTTGATGTGGAGATGCTAGAGACAGACACAACCCCTCCTACTCAGGTCGGTGAGACCTCAGGTATTCCTACCACCTCTATTGTTATCCCTTCTTCGCCTGCTGCTGCTACTAGTTGTTGTTTTTTCCCAGCCCCCATTGGCACAGGTGATGCTATTCAAGATGGGCCATCTAGCCCAATATACTGGCGTACGCGCTTCCCGGGTAGAGGTTATTGTCCTCGGAATAATTGAGAGGGTCGTTGTTGCTTGGTTAGCTCCTATCCGAGCTGAGTTGAGAGAGCACCGAGAGTTGATCACCTCTCATGGCCTAGCTTTGGACGCCCTCATGATGCGAGTGGATAGCAGTCAGCTGATGTCACGGCTTTGAGAGCCGATGTTGCTAGTTTGAGACGTGATGTGGATGAGCTAAAATCCATGGATTTTTCTATGTTTTTCGGCACTATAGACCTTCCCGAGGTCCCTAGTACAGAGAGGTCAGCTATTTCTTAGACCCCTGAGGTTGCTACGACTGGAGATGCTGCTATAGCTGATGATGATGCCGAGTCTGATGCTCTTGAGACTGATGAGGAGGATCTTGGTACCCGTGATGCAGCGGTATATGATGACTTGGAGGACCTAGAGGGCGTGATGGTACATATAGACATGGAGGCCTCTCTTCGGGACACATAAATGGTAGGCTCCAGTGGAGAGAAGGATAGAGATGAGTTGGGCACTAATGCCCAGATTGAGAGAGTCCCGGATGTGTAGAGTTCACCTCAAGCTTAGCATGACAGGGGTATCTTGACTCTCTTATAGTTTTATTTTGAGACTGTTTATTTATTTTACATTAAGGACAATGGTTAGCTTTGTTTGGCGGGGTGAGGTATCTTCATACTTGCCTCTTTTGGGTTGCTTTTGTGAATGATTGGTTTTTTATAGTGTTTTCTGAATGCTTAATTTTTGTGACTATCGATTTTCAGTTTTCAATATGAATGTCAATTTTTGGTCCAAATTAAAAATTTCACCTCTTGATGTTTGTGAATTTGGTTTTTCTCTTACATATTTGAGTATCTGTTGCAATCAATACCGATGGCGTGAATTGTGCTCTTGATTGAACGATATGTTTGTGCAATTCCAATGAGGCAAATTTGAGTTGCATAAGTCATGTGCAAACTCTTAGCATCTCATTGTGACTAGCCGATTTCTGAAATGAATCTTGTGATGACCGTTGCACGCGAGTTAAATTTGTAGAATCTTGATTGATGATTGTGTTGAATGCCATGTGTGGTGAGATTGTCTTGAAATATGTGTTTGGTGATACCTAGAATTTTCTCTGTTGGTCCAATTGACTAATCTAGGCGATTGAAAGAAATGATCTTAGGCACAAATTTTGGAGAGTGAACCAAATTGCCAGTATACCTCTTTGTGACCACCTTGTGAGAGTGTGAACCTAGCTTGACACCATTTAAGCCTATCATTTTCTTTGGATGAAAATGAACATCGCTGACCTTTTTCCTCCCCACCTAGAATCTTAATGAAGCATTGGTTTGTTTTGAATAGTCAACTTAGGCCAAAAGAATAAGTTGAGGGTGTGGTGAAAAATAAGGAGAGTCAAGAAGTTTGTGAAATTCATTCTTGAAGAATTGTGTTGAAAAAAAAATGGAACCCCTCCATATAAAAAAAAGAGAAGAAAAGCAAAAGAAGAAAAAGATTGAAAAAGAATGTTGCAATGAAACTGGTGCATGAATAAAAGAAAAGGGGTGTCCAATGAGTCGTAGAAGAATACTTGTGCTTGGAAGGACTTTGGGTAGATTGTGAAAATGAAAAGAGTGAAAGAAAAGGTGAAGAAGTGAAATGCACGCCATGCTTCATGAAGGCAGAAGTCACTAAGCCAGAATGATCATACCTTTACCCTCAGCCCCATTACAAGTCTTGAAAGACCTTTGTGATATTGATTAAACTTAATGTCATGTTGATTGGAAAATACGGGCAAGCCTATGGGTAGAATCATGCATGTGTTTATCTTTGAGAGTGTGAGAGTTGATTTTTGATTCCTTAATCCTTAAATTGTGAAGAGCTTTGTGTGAGTATTAAATCATTCTTGATGTGAGGGCATTCAAATACTTTTATTGAGCTTGAATTTGCATTTGAAGCAAGCATTGTGAGCTTGAGTTCTATTTGATGATGGCTAGTCACAGTTTGAAGCAAGCATTGTGAGCACAATTGAACATTGCATGGGTGGATTGAACCTCCTGTGCATTCATGTTGAGTCTTGAGTAGCACTATTTGTAGACATCTCTATTGAACTGATTGATCTTGTGTTTTACTTGAGGACAAACAAAAGTTTAAGTTGGGGGTGTTGATGAGTCGGGCATTTCGACTCATCTAAGGCTTGTCCTCAATGCCTAGTTTATGCTCTAAACTGGTGTTAAAATGCTAAATTACAGCAATGAAGGCAAAAGAGCAAGGCAAGGACATTACCAGGCAAAAATGAGCGAAAAAGCTGAAGAAAAGCAAGGCTGGTACTCGCCAAAGCTACTCGGCGAATTGCCGAGTGTCTCTTTAGCTCGCCAAAAGTTACAACAGGCTAGCGCATTGACAAGACTAACTCGGCGAGAAGATTGTGTTTTGGCGAAGCACCGAATGAATCGGCGATGGAACTTTTGATCGCCTAAAGTGATAGAAGAGAAGTGGTGGAAAGCCAAGCCAAGAAGGTGATGGAGAGGAGCACTCGGCGCATCGCCAACTTGGTCGGTGAAGCTCAACTTATTTCGCCGAGTGGCTCCGAAGGTGAAATTCTGGGAACGTATAAATGCAATTTTCAAAAGAAGAAAAAAGAGTTTTGGAGTTTTTGAGAGTTCCTAGATTGTCCAGTTCTGGGGTTTTGATCCTCAGTAACCCCTCACCCACCCTGACAACCCCTGTTAATTTTTCTTTAAAAAAAATTATTTAGAAAATATTTCTAATTTTTAATTTTGTTTTCTTACTCCTCTTCTACCCCCAACCACCCCCCTTAGCCCCCCAACCCCGAATATTTTTGAAAAATATTTCAGGATCGAAAGTTTGGGTCAAATCTCAAGGTTGAATTTTGGAACGGTCGTTGGGGTCGTGTCCTAGTTCAGGTGACAGGGTCAGGTCCTAGATCGATTATCGAGGCTGATTTTCGGGTCATAAATTATTTTCTAAAAAAGTATTTTATAGTGTCAAGCCATAAATAAAAGATATTTTCTAGGATATGTTTTTCATTCACCAACCAAACATTAAAATATATTTTCTACTCACCAACCAAACATGAGAAAATAAGTTAAAAATCCACTTGTTTTCCAAGAAAATTTTTTCTAGGTAAACATTTCCTTCATACCAAACACACCCTTAGGCTCACTCATATATGACTCAACATGTTTATATCTAAATTGACCTGTTAATTTGTCAACATTATTAGTATGCTTCTTTTTTTTTTCAAACCCCTGAACGAAAATTCTGGTCTCACCATTGGTTCTATGTGATCACTTCTCTCTAATACTTTGCTTTCCTACCTCTGCCCATCTGCATACCTCCTACAACCAATCTCTTGCAAGTCGCAACTCCTCACTGGATCGTTAGCGCACTCCTCTACACATGCCCAAACTATAGTAGTCTCTATTTCCTCATCTTGTCCAGTGTAGAGGTCACTCTCTCCAAAATAACATCATTCCTAATCTCATCACTCCTAGTATGCTCACACATGTCTTAACAAAAATTGAAAACCAACCGATTTTTTTGTTGGTTTTTTTTTATTTTATGTCCACCCTTTAATTCAACCAAAAAGACTTATTCCTACAGCACAATATAACCCCACACATAGGCTAATTAAACACCCGTAGCGTATAATATTTTTAATTAAAAATGACTAATGACTAGTCACTCAGCCAACACATAGTTAGTTATACATAACTTTATAATTTGAAAAAAAAGAAGTTATTTTCATCTTTTACAACAAATTGCAAAAAAGAGTGTATCAGATATTCTAGCAAGAAAGATTCACGAAGCAGAGAGGCTGATGGATGTCCCAATTTTGTTGGTTTTTTCTTAAAAAGACATAAATTCTTCCTGAACTTATCTCGAAAAGTCACTTATACGCTTAAACTATCATGATGACCTATTACACACTTTTACAATTTAAAAGTGAATTTAATATCATCCTGAGATGTGTAACTCCACTCTCACAGTCTGTGGTGTAATATATTTGCCGCCACATCATCACTAAGTCAGTGTCAAGTCAGAGATTATAATTTTTTTAATTTTCTTTTCTGTATTAATTACTTTTCTTATGTTAATACCTTCAATTCTTCTTCTTCTCCATCCATCACCAAATATCACCATCACCATTATCAATATCATTTTTTTTCTTCACCACTCTCAATTTCCTCCCTTCTTTCACCCGTAACCCGGCGACACCATATCCATAAAGTTGTCATCTTCACCAAATTTAAAAATTGATCAACCTTTATTTTTTCTATGGTTTTAAACTCTCTCTCTATATATATATATATACCAAAACATTTTTTTAATCTTGTGGTTTTAAACATGTCATGTGGAAGTTAAATTTAAAAATTGACAAAAAAAGAAAGAAACATTCTTTAATGTTTCGAAACGGACTAAAAGAATGACAAAATATAATTTATAATTTATATATATTCTTTAATCTTTCTAACAAACCATTCTCTTGAATTTCCATTTCTAAGAGGTGTGATCATTTATAATTGTCGTGAAATGAAGACGTTTTTCCAACATAAAACATTTGTGAGTACACCGAGCCTCCAAAGTGTGAACAATGATGATGATGTGAAAGTTATTAATCTCAATAAAATGATGTGCAATTCTAAGGTTTGTCTTGTGCCTCCAGTTGTATAACTAATCATTATATATATATTTGTGTCATACATTAATACACCCACGGTCTACTACTTTCTTTCCATTTTAACTAGCAAATAATAATAGCAATCTTTTCAGATAATTATTTCTATTTGTCACCTGATATCTATGTTGACGGAGGTAAGAAATATAGGCAAATCTACCATATAGTAATTCAAGGGTTCACGTGCCATAGCTTTTGCCCAGAGACTTTAATTTGTACTAGTAATACTAATATCTAGAAATTTCTTGATTATGAACGCGATTTTTATTGGATATAAACCTGAGGTCATTAGAGATATCTATATATTTTAAATTTTAAATCAGCAACTCTTCTAAATTCTTTATTTTTTTACGCCTTCAATAGAATTAATAAGGTAAACTGGTAAGGCATATATACCCCCTTGCTTGTACTTTTTTTGAGTTTTTATTTTTATTTTTATTTTTTATTATTATTATCGAGAGAGAGAGAAAATATAACTGCAAAAATTAGAAGCACAATTTGAAGAATACTTGTAAGTCGTAACGTTTGACGAATTAATCATTGGTTCATGGGTGAGTCGATACCATCTAAACCTGCAAATTGAACCCATCTGATTATATCTTTTCATTGAATTAATTCATTGTATATATGCACTTGGACAAATATTTATTACACTGGTTACAATCTTACATGTAATAGAAATAAATGCTCAAGAGTACATAATTAACCACACTCCTAAAATCCCAAAGGCATATGACCATCTAATGGATCAACATTTATTATTTATTAATTAAAATTTCTTGTTGTATATATTTACCTCAATGTATACAAATGTTGTTGAAATAGAGCCTTATTGTAAGGGCTAAATCGTTACTCTTGTTTTCTTGGAAAAATTTATTCCAACTTTTAGTACGTACGTTGAACACATATTAATTCTATGCTCTTTAAAATAAAATTTATGGTGATCAACCTCAACAACAATTTATATTATTTTAATAAATAAGGACAAAGATTTACAATTTAATTTTTAATTTTGTTATTAGCAGCCGCAGCGAGCAACTGATTAATTTGCCAAGGGAAA